CCCTTCGCCCAGCTTCTGGCCAGAAACTGGCAAATGGGAGGTGCTTCTTTCAATAACAGGTAACCAGGGAGCATAAGGGGCTCAGTAATAGTGCACATGGTTGCAGCCTGCAGGGGAAGGGCTGGGCAAATAGGCTGATTCAGGAACAGGCTGCTGGCTAGGAATAAACTGAGCTCGGACGGGCCGCTCCTGCTAACCCAGCGCAATCCCTTCGCCCAGCTTCTGGCCAGAAACTGGCAAATGGGAGGTGCTTCTTTCAATAACAGGTAACCAGGGAGCATAAGGGGCTCAGTAATAGTGCACATGGTTGCAGCCTGCAGGGGAAGGGCTGGGCAAATAGGCTGATTCAGGAACAGGCTGCTGGCTAGTAAGCCTCTGCTTGCCAGACCCTGCTTCTAGCATCCCAGCCCCTCTATTCCCCAACCCTCTGCCCCCCAGTCCACTCCTGCCCAGACCACAGTCCCCTTCTGCCCCAGCTCTTGGAGCTGGGGAGCCAACACCCTCTTTAGCATGTAAATATGTAACTGCTGACTTTTTTTCAGTCGTTACACATTGACTTGGATAAGCACATTGGCATCCCTAGACAGCTGCATCTCAAGCTGCTGTTGCACCTACTTGTAAGGCCTAGTGGATCACAAAGCAGCATGCACTAAGGGCTATTGGAACAAGCAGGCTGTGTCTACGCAAAAATGTTACCTGTCTACACTGGCGGGAAATTCTTGCACACAAACACTGATTTTCTGTGAAATCAGTGCTTCTTGCACAAGAACTATGATGCTCCTGCTCAGGAATAAGCCCTCTTGTGCAACTGTTGTTGGGCAAGAGGCTAGTGTAGACAGGCAGCATGAGTTTCTTGTGCAAGAAAGCCTGATGGCTAAAATGGCCATCAGAGCTTTCTTGTGGAGAGCGTCTACACTGGCATAGATATGTTTGTGCAAAAGCACATGCCAGTGTAGATGCTCTTGCGCAAATACTTTAATGCAAAAACTCTTGCGTTCTGCAGATCTGATCTGAAAGACAACAGATCAATGGAAAAATCTCCCATTTATTTCATTTTACAAAGGAATGTCACACACCCTTACAAATATTAGCATAACATATGGTGTTATAATAAAATATTTTTGTATTGCTGTGGCAGTTTGCTAGTGGGACCAGTTTTAGCAATCAGTGAGATAACCAACTGATAAAAGGGACTTGGGGAATAATAGTACACAAGACTATCTTGCTCATGAGTTCTGCCTCACTGCTACTCTCCCCCTCCCCCCAAAAAAGTAAGTTATGAATGAATAACAAGTTTTGTAATTTGAATTTACTTTTTGGTCCTGTACACATTAGTATCTTGCTAAAGAACTAAGGTTTCCAGCCTTTGGATGCTTACACTACGCAAAAGCACATGCCAGTGTAGACGCTCTTGCGCAAATACTTTTAACGCAAAAACTATTGCGTTAAATATTTGCACAAAATCTTGCCAAAGTAGACATAGCTGTAGTGTCTAGCTTTAACATGGCCTCACCATCCACAATCATCAATACAGTTGGCATCCAGCTAGTTTCAGGGAAAAGGAAAAATAACAGTGTATAGCATAATATTTTGTGAATAATTGTAATTAAACAACCGCCCATGGGGTTAGTCAGGTGCAAATCTCCACTACAATGGAAATACTTGAGTGTCCTGGAGGTGGCAGTATAATGCCATTCACCAGCAGCATACGCAACCATTTAAAAAAATCAATTTTTTCATCCATTTAGCTCAGGCCAGAAATGCAATATGTCATAGAGCAAGGATTGACAATCTATGGCTTACAGCTCGAGCTCAGCCCCTCCCTTAGCTTCCCCTGTAGCAACGAAGTTGTGCTGGTGCTCTGGTCTCGCAGGCTCCTGCAATATTGTAGCACCAGTGCCGGCTTCCTGTGGAGTAGGAAGGGGAAGGAGAGAAAGCCCTGAGCCTCCTGGCCAGATCCAGCCTGCGAGATAGCAGAGCTGGAAATGGCTCAGTGTGCTGTGGCAGCCAGTGCCCTTCACTGGCTGGGAAG